TTAAATCATTTTTTTTTTGTAAAACAGGAGGTTTATTTACCAAAAATCTGCTCTGAATCGTAAAATAAAAATGCCATTAAATGCTGAGAGAAAAATGGCGTCAGGTCAATCTATAGCAGAACGAGAAAAAAAAAACGAAACGAAAAGAGTAAAAAATTACATAAAGCCAGGAAGTTGTGGAGAGTCATGATTTGCTACCTCTTGAAGGGACAGGACACATACAGAATAATACTAATGTTAACAATCGTTTTCAGCATTTTCTACTTATGAAGTCTTTTGCGTGTACCTAAAAAAATAATGGGTCCTGATTACGTGTTTTGCTTTCAGATGACTAAGTGTAAAAATGACGTATCCCTTTGGTCATAACATTGTGACTGTGTCCGGTAAAGATCGTGGCTGCGTAAAGATGCGCCACTGAACATATTAAAGTTATCATGATAATTCTTCATCACAAAACAAGGGTAAAAATAATAATAGATTTCTATCTATCGATATATATATATATATATATATATATATATATATATATAATAATTGAAAAAATAATGCTAATGTTAAAATTGGATGATATAACAGCGTACAAGTTACTGATTATTATTATCGTATATATATATATATATATATATATATATATATATATATATATATATATATATGGTTTTCTGTTTATATATATAAGCTGGACTTACCACGATCCGGGGTAAGTGGCGTGCTCTCCAGGTCCATAAATTCCTGCAAGTCTTAAGGCGCAGGTTCGAAGAATTGAGCCGGTGCTTGTTTTCGATAAATTTGCGGCTATGATTTTTCTCTCTGCTATCGATTTAGTTCGTGAATAATGATCAGGTTGCTTTAATAACAAAAAAGAAAAAGAAAAGAGAGAGAGAGAGAGAGAGAGATAGAAAACGTTTAATTCGAAAACAGCGACATTAACTCTGTTAGACTGCCATTTAAAAAAAAAAACTTTAATTAACTTTCCAAAATTGCATATCCTAAATGTATAAATATTTAAGAAAATTAGAATTGCATTTTACTGTATAAACTATAATCCCTATGACAATATCCGCTATTCGATAATCAGAAGAGCAAAGAGCAGAAGTAGTTGGAAAACCATTTTGAATAATTAAAATTAAATGGAAGAATCTAAAAGTGACTAAAGAGAAAAATACAAAAATATAACAACATATGAAAATAACGCCATATAAATACATATACACATACATTCTCTGTAAAGGAGAAGTTATCATTATTTATATTAATTACATGTGAATAATATCAATAAACAAATAACACCGTATAAAAATAAAGAAAATAATATATGAAAATAAAATTGTTTAAAAATTAAAGTTAATTATATCATGTGAAAATAACAGCGTATAACAATGCAAAAATAAAACCGCCGGAAAATAACATTGTATAATATTAAGCAAAAACATTAAAATCACACGGTATAAAATTTTAAAAAATAAATAAAATTTCTAAAAATAACAGCCTATATGAACCAAAAAAAAATAACACTATATGAAAAACAAACAATTACAAATTAAAAAATACCATACAACAATAACAACCTATAAATTTAAAAAAAATTATACAACATAGTAAGAGTTGGTGCAAAAAATAATGTCGTTTTTGACGTTAAGTTGAACGTCAGAAAACGACATTATTTTTGCACCAACCTAATAATAAGAACGAATACAAACCAATAAATGAATACCATATCAAGAAAATCCTGTATAAATATAAAAAAAAAAAACCATGAAAATAACACCGGATGAAAAATATATAACAAAAATAGTAAATATACTGACAAAAATATCCGAAAAACAATGGGAAAACTATAAAAAAAATTATAATTATTATATATAGACTATATTAAATTTTTATTTTTTTATATAGTTTTATATAGTTTAAATGACTAAATGTAACTGTAACTTCTATGTTAATAGTTTCTTTGCTTGCATTTTTCGCTTGTGGAAATCCCTTCCAGCCTCTTGCTTTCCAGTCAACTTTCATCTTCAGAAATTGAAATGCAATGTCAAGCGTCATTTCCTTTCCTTAATTCCTGCTCTTTTATTGTTCTCTCTCCTTAATAATGTGTTTTGCTTATATTCTTTCACACCCAGTAACCCCCTTGCATCTTAGTGGCATTATTGCCTTGTTTGGGGGTGGGGGTGATATAATTAAAAACATAAAATAAAAGTAATTAGAGACTGAATACTTTTAGTACTAATGTATTTTCGTGATGTGTGGCGGAAAGGAAACGTCTAACCACTTTCGCACTAATGCCATTGGGGAAGGTGTGAATTCTTCCGTTATCCCCCCAAGCGATGTGTTAAATAGTAGTGTAGATAGGGTTATCCAAGATTGGTTAAGCAACCAGTCGAAGAGAAGGAAAAACGTGAATTTAACAGCCGTGGCAAAGGTAAAGGGAAACCACTTGACTATCTTTTTTATGAAGTAAATTAATTCGCAAATAATAAAGAAAATTTTGTGGAGAGCTATGATTGTTTGCGTACTGAAGGGACATGGCATTTGAAAAAAAAAACATCGAGTTATGCTGCACTGTTTCATCGGACAAATATTTGAATTTAAAATCTTGGTTGTAATGTGTTACGAATCAGCCACAAAGGCATTCTATTTTGAACTTTTCGAAGAGTTAAGTTGTTCATTCAGATACAATATTTGGCATATTCAAGTACGAAAATAAAAATAAAAAATCCGGATCAAACAATCAAAATCAAAATGTCGTTTCGGAGACCTAAAGATGCTGAAGAAAATGGTCAGCTCACTCTATTGTTCCAGGATGTACCCGACTCCTTCTGCCAAATGTCAGATATATCCAAAAGTGGACTATTGCTGCCAATAGCTGGGGCTACTCTCTCCTCGCTTTCCGTTTATACAATCTTGTGGTGGGAGAGAGCGATGACTTATTTTCCATTCTACAACCTCTTTCCTCGCAGTCGCAAAATTGCAGGTTTTCCGATCCTATATCGCTGTTCCTATGGAAAATGTTCAGATAAAGATTTATTTTTTTATTTCACCAGTTCAGACCTTTACAGCGAGGATACGTCATGCTACTTCCAAAGAGTTGAATCAGGCTTATTGCTTCTATGTTCCACATGTGATAAGGAAGCTCCTACTAGACAGCCTTTTGCCTATAACTTTCTCTTTGTGAAATAGAATCCATCGTGGTTGCTACCCTGGACACCCGACAAGTTAAATGTCAATTGTTATTGATCCGATTTATTTTCATAATATTCGCTTCCTACGACCTTCTCTCCCATTCATAATCACATATTTAATATAACATTAACGTTTCAGCAGTAAACCTCTTCCTTGAGTTACTCTCGGGCCATATAATGAAGGAAATGTAGTAAAGAAATGGTAAAATATTTTATCTCAAGGTGTCTTGTTTGAGCTTTTTGTGAACTAGCGAGATCGATGTGAGATTTTCTAAGCAAATCTCGGCCAGTTTTAGGCACTGTTTATTCTCAGTGTGGAGTCATGGATTGCGGCTCGGATTGAGAAATCGGAGAGCCGAGTTCGAATTTCAGTCGAGTTCATTACATTCAGACTGCTGACCTCATCTTTATTTCCACGTTCACGGCGTTTCGGACGTTGTACATTCCAACCTTCTTCAGGGGATATGTATTGGGATTCCGAACTGCACTCTTTATTTAGTCCACGGGGATGGCTTGTTCTAGTTCCACGTGCCATGCCTTTTTTGGATATCTCATTTTCAGTTAATTCCTTTTTAGTAAATCAACTCTCTAAGTTTTTGTTGCTTCTGCTGTGATCAGGAATTGAACTTACAACATTTATGACTAATCAGTGAGTTTGATCCTCATTGGGTGCCTCATACTTTTGGTATTGGTGCTTTTTATAAGCTACGCTTAGTGTTAGCAGTTAATGTACTAGAGAAGACTGTTTACCTAGAAAATTGTTTGAAGAGAATGACCATAAAAACTTCCACTGACAGTAATGGTAACAGTTCGGTGAAATTTTATGTCGAATATTTCCTTGTAATCACTATTAGTAAATAGAGCAATAGTTATCTTGCTAGTTTGGTTGGCCAGTAATTTCAATACTGAGATCGATCTTAGCTGGATGCTCCATACTTGTGATTCTATGCCAAATTAAGCTAGGTTTAGTAAATAATATCATAATCTTGTCCCACAGATACGAGTTAAAAAGTGGGACTTGTATCAGTAAATCATTACCATCCAAAAAATCCCTACAATCTAAAAATATTTTCTGTCTTTGAATAAACCGCAAATGTTTGATAAGCCATAAAAAAAAGCAAATGAAATCATAATCTTGTTACAACGTAGAAAATGTTAGTGAATGAGGAATAACTAAAATGGAGGTTGGAAATGGAATAGTAATCTTTATAACATCAACAAAATGTAATATTCACCAGCGGCATAAAGTAGGTAAACAACTGCTAGTGGTGGACTACTTAGACAACATATTACACCCTCATACTTACAATAGTGTTCAATTTATTTATGAGGATTAAGACATTAGTGTTCATACGTACGGTATATAACACTATCTATCTATCTATCTATCTATCTATCTATCTATCTATCTATCTATCTATCTATATTTTGTAAGCGAGAAAGGGTTACTGAATGATGAATAACCAAAAAGAAGGTTAGAAACGGAATGGTAATCTTTATAACATCAACCAAATGCAATACTCGCCAGCGACATGAAGTAGATAAACCACTGCTAGTGGTGGGCTACTTAAACAGCATTATTACCCACCTCTTACAATAGTGTCCAACGTATTTGTGAGGATTGGGACATACACATTGGTGTTCCTAGGTACGGTATATAAAACTATCTATCTATCTATCTATCTATCTATCTATCTATCTATCTATCTATCTATCTATCTATCTCAGACTATTCATATCTATCTATCTATCTATCTATCTATCTATCTATCTATCTATCTATCTATTTTTGTAACCTAGAAAGGGTTATACACTTTTATGTTCATATGTACGGTATATAATCTAATATCTATCTATCTATCTATCTATCTATCTAAGACTATTTATATCTATCCATCTATCTTTTGTAACTTAGAAAGGGTTATACACTTTAATGTTCATATGTACGGTATATAACAATATCTATCTATCTATCTATCTATTTATCTATCTATCTATCTAAGACTATTCATATCTATCCATCTATCTTTTGTAACTTAGAAACGGTTATACACTTTAATGTTCATATGTACGGTATATAACAATATCTATCTATCTATCTATCTATCTATCTATCTATCTATCTATCTATCTATCTTTTGTAACCTAGAAAGGGTTATACACTTTAATGTTCATATGTACGGTATATAACAATATCTATCTATCTATCTATCTATCTATCTATCTATCTAAGACTATTCATATCTATCCATCTATCTTTTGTAACTTAGAAAGGGTTATACACTTTAATGTTCATATGTACGGTATATAACAATATCGTAAGTACGGCATATAACAACATTATACGGTAAGATTAAACAAAAAAGAGTTGAAGAATAAGCTCTGTCGCCGACTTTTGAGAATATCTCCCGACTAGTGCTCCTTCCATATTTATTGAACATGAACATAGGTTTATCTTTTGTTTCCAGGTTGGGATATGGGTTACTGATTCTTTCTTCTTCCATGGCCTTGATGAATTAACTATCTTAACTTTTTGCTGATCTGACTGATCAGGGGCTACGACTTTTCATTATGAGGGGACCGGGTTGGCAATTCTCTGGTTGCTGCATCCGTCGTCTGGTAGAAGCCCGAACTCTTTGGTAGCGATATCAGAGAGCATGTGGCAAACGAAGAAGTCTTAAGGAGAATAGGAACTACAAAGAAATATTGTAACAATAAAAAAAAGATAACTGAACTTCTGACAATGAAGGGCGGTAATCGGAAATATAATAATCCTGGGAGCAAACGGCAGACCACTGGAATGCGAATGGAAAATAAATTAAATAGGTCCAAAAAATAGAAAATTGCGTACGACAACGACGTGTCTTCTTGTCAGATTTATTCAACATTTACAGCGAGAACTAGAAGTCCTTCAAGAATTTAGTATTGGAGTCTCGTACCTCCAAAAAGCTAAAAGATTTTTTCCAGCGTACGGACGGATGTTGCCAGAATCAAAGCATTTGGTTAACTTAGACATTTAGACGCGGTAACATAAAAAAAGAAAGAAAAGAAACCAGCAACTCAGAATTAAGGATTCAAAAGGAAGACTGAGAACCTAAAATTGTGTTCAAGTTGAGTCTATCTCTACCGATATAAGCAGAGATGTACTGGCATTTAAATGGCGGTATAGCGACAGAGGAGAAGCAATAACATCGACGGACGATGAACGATACACCGGGGCGGTAACATTCCATGCACTTCTCCCGGGCAAGGATTTTTATACGAGAATTAACGTTCCGCCAAATGATAACTGGATTTATTTGTAAGTAGGAACTTCGCATAATAGGACCAAATACATCCCCGAAAAGTTTTCATGTGGAATCTATGATCAGTTCCTGCCGTTCTTACACCTAACTAATTGCTCTGGTAGAGACTGTTTTTTTTCTTTAATACAGCACCAGTGTACTAGCTAATAAATAGTTGCTATTATTTGTGTTTATTCATGTTTCTATAGCTAGAAGCACGTGGCCGAGTGATTAGAACGTTCGCTTTCTGACCATGAGACCCCGGTTCAAATCTCACCATGGTTGATTTGTCAGGAAGGAGACTTCCTGATGTTATCGGACTGGAGGGTTCAATCCCAGCATGCGGCAGCTTTGGAAAAGTGCCTGAAAACCATACCACGGGTTGACTCAACACTTCTGAGTGAAATTGGGCAGACAGTACCCTTGGGTGCTGTCAATAGCTGTGCGAAGTCACAAGTCCGAGGGTTTGAGTACGCTGGCCTTGTTTAGATTGTTGGCCACACTAGATAACGCGCTCTTTCGCAGAAACTGTAACTAAGGTCTGCTCAGGATAGTTGCAGTATAAAGGTGGGCTCTGTGGGTGTTGAACAAACACGTGTCTGCAATAGGGATTGTCTAGTCGCCCTAGTAGACAGGTATCCTCGAATACGAGTGGCTAGCTATACATACATAGTCAGAGGCGTTGCTACCCTAGGAAAGACGAAACAAATCGTAGTTATGAGAACCTCTACAGGTGAGGAAAATTCTGCCAATATAAATTACACTGATGACATAGTGATGGTAGCAGACACAAGGGGTAACTACAGGGCCTTAGTATATAGTAAGGGAAAGCCAGGAGAAAGGACTGACCATTAATTGTAAGAAGACAGGATGTATGGTTGTCTCTGCAAGAGAAAAATCAGAAAATTCTAGTTACTAATTGGAATGCCAAGATCAAACAAGTACTGAATTTTAAATATCTAGCAAAGTGTTATGGGTGGACCATAAAAGATAACTCGGACTCGGATGTAATATTTAATAATACACAAAGTACAACAAATAAACGTGGACAGGAGAGTACTTTCTCTCATAGGTGACCTCCCAACTCATCGTTGGTGGCCACATATATATGTGTGGAATAGTTCATTTGTAGGTAGGTTAGGTTCCCACAATACAAAGAGAATACAAAATTGTGACACCGAAATCCAAAAATGCATTGGAATGGTAAAAGATACAAAACGCTAAACAAAATACTAAGGAAATTTTCGTTAGAAACAGAGAAAACACCAATAAACTTTTTATGCAATATTAATCCTTTTTATATGGTAGTGAAGACAGGTTCATAAAGACGAAACTGGGGACGACAGAAATGTAGTTCTACAAACGAATACTGAGGATATCCGCGTTAGCCACGAAGAGATCTTAAAAAAACGGAAACAAAAAAGTACGCTTATATCCAGAAGCAAAAAGAGACAGCTAAAATATCTTGAACGCATAACGAAGAAGGTAGGCTTCGTAAATTTGACACTCACAGGACATATCAAAAGCAAAAGGCAGAGGGGAGAGCATGGTGAGCCACATACCTGACCAGCTTGTATGAATGGATAGGAATGTATGGCAAAAAGAGCTGCAAGTGATAGGAAATTGTGGAGAGCCATGATCACCCACGTTATGAAGGGACATGCTTCACTGAAAAAGAAGTACTGGTACCTGCTCACCCGAAACGTCACAAAGAGCATTCAAATCTACAGAATGGCATCTGACTATTATAGTTTGTGTGTGTATGTGTGTGTGTGTGATCTAGCACAAGAAACATCGTGTTACTTGTTGAATTTATGATGAAAGAATTATGGTCTGGATTAGCTTTACTGACCCAGGGATAAGCTGCCTAGTTTTTGATTGATTAATTTCTATGGCTTATCAACCTTTTGAAGGTTATTTAAAGACAGAAAACATTTTAAATTGTAAGAATTTTTCTGGAGATAATAATGGTTTAGTGATAAAAGTCTTACTAATTAACCCATAGCTTAGGGAGAATAGCTGGATTGATACCTTTCGCAAGAGTATTTGCGCGTAAGTGAATATAACGAACCCAACCGGAATTGGAACTCGGTTCCCCGATTAACAATTCCAAGACATTTTCCATTAGCCCACCTGAGCATCCAAGCTTACAGCACCTGGTATGTTTTTAAATCTCGGTAAAAATGTCATTTTTTCCTAGAATTTATTTTATTTGATGAAATTTCGAGAAGTTAATTTTCGTAGTGCTTAATATTATTTATAAGTAAAAGTCCTCGGAGAATTTAAATCATCAAATTGTTTTGGTTATATAGGATCCCCAGTTGCAGAAAATCTGCTCTGAATCGTAAAATAAAATAAAAAATGTACTAAAACTAAATTAATTTAAATTAGAAAATATTTTAATTGCTTTCATGAATAAAATATATCATAGACGCTATTTCTTAAGAAAAAAAAATTTTTTTTCGATGAATAATGAATTTTTAGAGGAATTGCTATAATTTTTGGTTCAGTTAATTAGAATACTTTATAATTTTTAAATCTTTTAATATTCTGTATTAATTACTGATAATAAAAAAGCAAAAAAAATACAATCAATTTAAATTCGGTTTGAAATACAGTAAATTATTTTGCTTATTAGAAATATTAAATGTAATCTATTACTTTGGAGTTAAAACTGAAATAAATGCTCCATGAAAGATTTTACATTTTAAACCATAGACATAGCTGTTTTTGTAGGTACCAAAGTTAAAGTAATAAATAAGACTGACATGTTACAAAGAAAGATGTTAAAGTAGTAAATACAATTCAGATTGATCAATAAATGTAAAAGAATAATAATTATTTTATAATTCATTCATTGTAGCTTTAGCTACATTGTTTATGTAAGTACCTTAATAATTATTCATTTTGAATCTGTTCATATTAGAAAGGCGAGCAAATCAACAATGAGCCGGTCAATTCGATTTGGAGTGGTATTCATTATTCTCTGTAATATATGTAAATTATTTTCAGGTAGTGTGTATCTGTAAAGGAACAAAATGAATAAAAAGACAAGAGGAAAAAAAAAAAACTATTCATAGCCAATGCGGTGGTTTATAAAAAAATGTGTGATTTATTTTGCAGCAGGTGTTTATACTTTCCCAAACCAGCATACACAACTAGAAACATGTTGAAAAATCGAAAGAAAAGACCTAAATCCATTACCTCATGTTTTTGAAGATGTACAGCGCATGCGTCTATCTCATACCATAACATTCTAATCCCAGTTGTTTTGAATAACCTTTAAACCACCTGATAAATATTCATGAACTCTCTCAAATTTATAAGCCTTGATAAACCAATGAGATATTTGCCTTTGTATATAAACACATGCAGCATAATAAATCCTGCATTGCCTTGATAAAGTCACCCAGAGAATGAAACGCTATGTATAGGTTTTCCTCTTGTCTCTTTTTATTCATCTTTTTATCTCTTGCTCTATTTGAGAATATTTGCACACACACACACACACACACATATATATATATATATATATATATAGCTGACCAATCGTATTCGAAGATACCCGTCTATTTGTGTTTATTCAATACCGACAAGGCCCACCAGCTCTGGTTTATATTGCAACTGAGCAGACCTTAGTTTCAGTTTCTGGGAAAGAGCGTATTACCTAGTGTGATCAATAATTTTAAACAAGGCCAGCCCGTTCACGAGGCAAAGCTAGCATAGCTATCGACAGTTCATATATATATATATATATATATATATATATATATATATATATATATATATATATATAGGCAGCAATCCTTCCTTTATGCATGTTTCATTAAAACGACAGACAAGGTACTACGGTTGAGTTTTTATTTAATTTTTCTTGTGTTCTGACAAGAGCTTTCTTTTCTGGACAAAGGGTGTGTAAGAACTGTCCGAATGTTTTGTATTTCCGAGCACTTTCGGCTATACCTTTAGCCATTATCAAAGGATGATTCGATTATCAGCTTAGTAGAGTGTGTGCATTCTGTGTATGTTCAGTGTATGGTATTGATGTTTGTCGTTTTTAATGAAACATGCATATATATATATATATATATATATATATATATATATATATATATATATATATATATTAAATAGGTTTGAAACGGTACAAAAAGCGTATTAAGGCATTAAAACTAGAAATGTAGTATTGTAGGCCATGATAAGTTTTAAAATAAAACACAACAGTCGACCGGTTTCGTCCCTCTCGTCAGAACTGTTAACGGGAATTTAGATTATGAGGAAAGAAAAAGTCTGTCATGGGTGACATGAATGAATGGACAGGAAGGAAAAAAAATATATATATATAAAATTATACCAACCAAGCTGCTAGAATCGCATCACAGCAAGTCCAAGCAAACAATCTCTCTGTTTGCAAAGAGCAGGCTGCCTAGACCTGATGTAAAGCGACTCAGCACCTTAAGATGGAAAAGTGAGTGCGAACTGGCCAAGACGGAAAACCAGTCCACACTGAAATCCATCGCACAAGTTGGATTCTTTATAAAATGATCCGCAATCGAAGACCCATAAGTGTTACGAATGGTATCGCCCAAAAAGAAAATTTTTGTTTAGTATTATCGCAGGTACGTGTTGTTTAATTCTCGTCCAACCGCTGTGTCGTTCTACCTATGTAGTCGCATCACAACTACATTTGAAATAGTAAATAACAGAGTTAATATGGTGGGGGGAACATCTTTACACATAGATGAAAGTATGGACTTAGTTTGAAAGACAACACGAACGTTCGCTGGTAAACGAACTACATGAAATACTCTTAGCGAAGGATTCACTAATCTTACCCAACCACGGTAAACGAAGATAGACGTGAGTGTTATTTTGCAGCGAACGTTCGTGTTGTCTTTCAAACTAAGTCCATACTTTCATCTATGTGTAAAGATGTT